ATGAAATACGGTTGGTAAAATGAGGTTCTACTGGTAATCTCATCATTCTGTCTTTGTAAAATTACCAAGAATAGTGAGATGGCAAAGATATCGATGGACCTTGGTAAAAACGCCGATATTTTTTATCGCCTGTGGTAGAATTACAGAGATAAAATGGTAAATTAAGTTACCGGGAATTGATTACGAATAAAAGTGGTATTCTTACCTGGAAAAATCAGTAAAAATACCGGTCTGCCTTTCTAACATTACCAATGATTGATAAAAAAAAGAGATGGTAAAGTTACCAACGGACCTTGGTAAAAACGGCAGCGGCGGCGGCATAGAAACATGTTTCATAAGCGTCATTCATGCGTTAGTAGGCGTTGATGAAAAATTGCAATTTATTGCAATTTTATCTCTATAAAATCGCGTTCGATAAAATCGCGATTTTATTGCAATTTATCGCGATTTTTCTCCCGATAATATTGCGATGATTCGCCGTCGATAAAATCGCGATTTTTTTATCCGATAATATTGCAATAAATCGCGACGTCGATAAAATCGCGATATATTCTCCGATTAAATCGCAATTTATGGCGATCACTACTACTCGGGAATTGCAGCAGCAAATCCAAAAATTGTTACGCATCACCGCCACTCTTTAATTTAAATATCAAACCGACCTGTGGCCTTTTATCAAGGTTAATATAAATACATCCCGTTTTATTAATGACAAACCTATTATATTTCGTTTATATTATATTATATTCTATCCTATTTGCTTTCCATCCATTTTATTTTATCCCATATAAACCGTTTCAAACTGATTATTCACCTTTTTTTAAAACTCCAACCTTAATTGAAGTAAGTTTTTAGCTAAATTGAAGATGATCTTTTGAATGAATAAGCACTTAACAGAACTTCAGCAGTATTAATATTAATACAATTTACGAGAATAATGTAAATTAAAAAAAATTAAGTGATATTTTCATAACGAATTGACAGAATATACGAGGGGGTTGGGCCGCGGAGCGGCCAGGGGGCGGAGCCCTCTAGTTATATAAAAAAATATACATATATATTTCAAAGACTTGTCTTCAAAAATTAAGATTTAATATTGCAAGTTATTACGGTAAATCATTCTACCTGATGAGTAACTCATATGGACGTATTATTGATAAGAGGAACTATGAGCAAGTGGAAAGATGGGGTGTGCTTGTGCAAGCTGCATTTGAAACAATAAAAGTGGCTATAGTTCCTTTTGAGAAAATGGAAAAGTAGGATTTGACATTAAGTCAAAAGGAACTGAGCGTTAGCTCGTAAGCCATGGACATATGAAAAGAGCCTTGTGGGTAGGGCCATTTAGCATAAATGCGCCCAAATTAAAAAACTTTCCCTCAATTAACTGCGTCCCTCCCCAGGGCCGGATTAAGGGGGTGGCCACATGGGCCGCGGCCCATGGCGGCAAATTTAGGGGGCGGCAAATTTTGCAATTTTTTTTAATGTAGGTATAAAAAGAAATCGGATTCATTAAAAAAAAAAAAAAAAAAAAAAAAAAAAAAAAAAAAAAAAAAAAAAAAATTATCAATGAGAAAAGGGGACAACATCTCTCTTTCCTGAGAGTATAGTAATTTTGAATTTTTTCGTTTTTCTGTGATACAAGAGACCGCATCTTTAATTAGTCGAGTTAAGAGAGGGACTAAACACGCAATTTGGCCTGGAGCTCAGCGCAGGGAGGAATGATGACGAGGACTAAAATGAAAAGGACAAGCCCTCGGCGCAGCGTGGCGGTCGGCATGTAACACATATTAGCGCCTACAAGACTGCAGGAATACTTCACCCATTGCGTCAAACACAGTGCGCGCGGTCAGGAACGGTTGGCGTAACACATAGCGCCTACAAGACTGCAGGAATACTTCACGCATTACGCCAAACACAGTGCGATCAGCGCGGCGCAGGCGCAGCGGCGGCAGAATAAGTTAAAATAATTCAACCACATTTATGTTTGTTCTTTCATAATTTTTTGGTTCATTTCTTATAAATGGAGGACCCTGCCCACACAGAGACAGGTTTACGGAACTTAACTTTCGCGCAAAGTTCCGTGAAATTTTACTAGTATTGTTGACAGGGCTTTCGCAAAAAATGTATCCAACATGAGTAGGTAAACGCGTCTTATGCACCCCTCCCCCTCGGCACGTTCACTTGATGGTTTTTATTGATGTTTAAAAACGAATGAGAAGGGAGCGGCAAAATACAGGCGGCCCATTGGCGGCAAGTAGGTGAATCTGTCCCTGTCCCTCCCCCATTTGGAACTTATTTAAGATAGCATCTGCTGTCAGACAGCTTACAAAACTTGTGCAGAGCATGCCTCATAAAGATACAAAAAGGCTCTTAAATTCCTTACGAATGACTGAGGCTCAGTTGATGGAGGAGTACGAAGCCAATGAGGCTGATGATGGGAAGACATTTTATGAGTGATGCAAAGTGGGATGGTCGATCGACTGGGATAAACAGCAAAAAATAGATCGCGACTGTTTTGAAGAATGGCACAAGCTTGGCTCCAATACTTTTGAACTGAAATCAGAAAAACAACACCATTTATTTTGGGCAAAAACTTAGTTACCTTTCAAGATTTTGCAAGAAGGCATCCATTTTTTGTCCCCAACAAATTTGTAAGAATGTTTAGGATGATCTACGGCATAGTGTCTTGTCAGAACCTCAAATTTCCCCACTCCAAAACATGATTAGAGAACTTTTTCTTACAGCCCTTTCGACTCTTAAAGGTTACAATTGTCGGCCAGGTTGGCCTAGTGGTCAGCGCTTCTGACTCTAGGTCAATAGGTCCCGGGTTCGAATCCTGGAGGTGGCGTCTAATTTTCACGGAATTGACGAGTAGATCTGCTGAAACAGATTCTCCTCGGCCCTATAATCCCTGAAAATTGGAAAAGCCTGGACCAAGGAGATCCCACGATGTCTATGGACACTAAACACTGTCTAAAGTTGGCTGAAGGTGCTAGACACGAAGCCATTAATCCAGCAGAGAGAGGGAGAGAGAGAGAGAGAGAGAGAGAGAGAGAGAAAGGATTACAATTATTTATGCGGGTCTTGAAAAATGAAACACTGAAACAATACAAGAGCATCATTGATTGCTAAAAAGAGCAATCGCCTCATCAAACTATTGCACTTTCAAGTAGGTACGGTTTATCCACGTGAATAGAAGAAATGACAACTTCTGCACCATCGCGATTTTCAGTTTCGCTTGCATGATGCCTATCTTCCTCATTGAAGGCGCTTAAATTAAGGCAACTTCATTAGGGTTAGAATTGATTACTGGAGTATAGTTGCGTGCTTCTTATCTTCTCCGTTCTGGGCGCGATTATTACCTGCAATGATTACAGCGGCGAACGCAACGAATTTTTAAACCGAATTCCAACTTTACATGGTTATAGGTAAACTAGGGGGCCCTGCCCCCTGACCGCTACGCGGCCCAACCCCCGGGAGGGCGCCTCGAGCCCTCAGGCCCGCTTCGCGGGCCCTATACGCATATGTATAGGCAAAAATGTTCTTCCATTGTAACACCATTTTGTGTTCGACCTGCATTGATTTCAAAATTTTTGACGTAACGCTCAAATAACGACGCGAATTTTTGACGTAACGCGTAAATGATGAGGAATAGCTGGATGTACATAATTTCACAGTCCACTTACTGGAGAAATTTCCATTTACTAAGTTATTTTTTAATACTTAATTTAAAAAAAAACAAGTTGGTTTTTGCAATCGCTAGCGATAGCAATATTCGTCATGGGAACTTTTGCTTCTGGGATATGAAAATGTTAGGGTACAGTTCGTTTGTAGTATCTTCAGAATTGAAGGGGCTATGTAATTTTGTGTCGACATCTCTTTTTTAACATTTTTAATTTTTTTTCTTTGCATACAAGAAAGCTGTTATTTACCAATTATTTATTTTCGTTGGATTATGTATGGTTTTCGGAAGTTAACGCATTTAACTTTCAGTTTCGTTTTTTCGGCGTAAAGTATGATATTTTTATTCTACGCATATGCCCGAATACGCATCATAAGTGACCTATGTGCTTCCTAAGTTTCCATTTTTTTCATTCAAATAGATGTATCTGAAATGTTAGATGTGTACTACCTATACTACTTTCATGTCATGGATTTATTTATTTACTTTTTGCGTAGGTATAAATTGTTATTTTTTGCTGAATTTTGGAGAAAATATTGCTTTAAGAACGTGGAATGTAAATTAATTTTATTGAAAAAAGAAAATATCATCATTAATTTGGGCGAACAGAGAAAATATACATCAATATTTGGGTCAACATCTCCCTGATTATATAAAGGATGAATATATTAGTATTTTTGTATAAAAAATCTTAGCTTTTGTCTTCAGAGATACAATGATTCTAGTCCCAGTCAATTTGTTTTATTGAAAAAACAAAAAAACAAAAAATAAATTTAAAAAAAAAAAAACAACTGAAATGTTCGACATACTATTTTCATGTCTTTCAATTTGTATCAATAGGTACTTTTTGCTTAACTTACGAACGTTGAATGCAAATTAACTTTATTGAAAAAAGAAAATAACGTCATTAATTTCTAGTCCCAGTCAATTTGTTTTATTGAAAAGACAAAAAAACAAAAAATAAATAAAAAAAAAACAACTGAAATGTTCGACATACTATTTTCATGTCTTTCTATTTGTATCAATAGGTACTTTTTGCTTAACTTACGAACGTTGAATGCAAATTAACTTTATTGAAAAAAGAAAATAGCGTCATTAATTTGGGGGAACATGTGACTGATTATATGAAGGAGGTGTATTCCAGTATTTTTGTTTAACATATTAACTCACGAGAAAATGTTCGTACATTTATCATCTAGTATTAATTATTTTTTGATGATTAGTCTAAAACATTCAATACAATCATTAAAAAGTAACACCCATCGTCGGGTATTGAACTCCCGATCGCCTATTGCCCGCACCTAATCAAAAATATGAGGTGGTTTAGTCAACCAGGCTATAACGAATCGGCGTCTGCGGGGGTAAAAATAGCATACAAAAGACTCGGGCAATGGGCGGGACTTATCACAAGAGACCTTGACGCTTTGAACGTTGCTTTTGGGATATGAGAGAAATGAGCTAAGCGCATTGCTGTAGGAGCCATGGTTCGCATTGTTTTCATGTCTCTCAGGGTTCATCTCAGCATGCATTTGCCATCGCGGCAGTAAACTGAGGCGATATTTGTTTATCCATGAATTAAATCAATCAATCGAGCTCTGATTTTGACTTCTCTGTCCGTAACGAGTCCTCCAGAACAATTTTCCACCTTGTACGATGGTTATTATTTCTTTACTTCTATTTTTCAAATTTGAGGTGGGATAATGGCGGCTTCTCAAGAGCACCGAGGTAGGCGATCTTTTGCACCAACGAACAGAAAACTGATGGCGAAAAATAACCAATCAGAACCTCCCAAAAAAAAGAATTTGCCCAAAATCGGAACTTCGTGGTTCTGCGCAGATTTAGTCAGACACGACATCTCAAGGTGGAAAAAAACTCGCTGAAAGCGAATTTTAGAAATCAACACAACTTGACGTAGAGACATGATTGGCTAAAAAATACAACGGTTTTTGATACATCGGAAAATCAACCAAAAATCGAAGACTGGGCGAAACGCTCAAGGTCGCAGAGGCATAGGGAATCCCATAGCGATAGCAACGGAACGATTGTAATATCATGGGGAACTCCGTTCCCATGACAAAATCGGATTTCGACCCTTAAGAGTGAATAAAATTTGGTCCGTCCCGACGCGACGCAGCGCCTGCCTTCTCACTTTGTATCTGCTGTTTATCTGCTGTAAATATTAATAGAAATTCAGCAATCAAGTAAATTGACCAATGCCACAAATCGAAGCCGGAAGAATGCAGGAAAAATTGAGTTAAACCTTACCCTGGTAAAAATTTACAGTAGAGTGTGTGTTCCAAAATACCATAGACCTAAAGCCGGCTGTAAGATTTTCAATAGCTTCTATAGCCGGATGCACAATTTCTTATAGCCTTTTATAGCCGCTGGCGATTAAGCAACAGCCAGGCGATAAAGTGTATGATAAATGTTACTGATAACGGATGCTAGGACTTATTGAGTTTTTGGACTACCGCTCTATTTTTGGGCCGTAGTATCTTGATTTATTTTGCGCGGAAAGCTGCGTACTTTTGACGGATGCCTACCATTCCTAATATGTTAGAGCGCCTTCAATTTCGTATGATACTGTGCAATACCTCTGGTGTGAAATAGTTGCTTCAAGCGCCGTGGCACACTGCGGCGCGGCAGGCGGGCAGCTAGCGCGAAACGCGCTTTGGCGCCTACAAACCTAACAGGGATACTTCACGCGTTGCGCAATGCGTGAAGTATCCCTGTTAGGTTTGTAGGCGCTAGTGCGCGCTTAACTCTGGCAGCACGCCGCTCCGCTCTGTGTTAGGCTCCAATATATAATCTCGCGGAGTCAGCGTTTTCCAACCCATGATTTTAAAATGTTTACACATCTTGTATGGATTATTCTCATTTTAATTGATGAAAAAAAATATGTATTAAAGGAAAATATAATGTGCGATTTGTAAATATTATGGTGGTTCCGTATCAAACTTAATGATTTCCAAAGCGCACGAACTTCTACACAATTTCTTATAGCCTTTTATAGCTGATGACGATAAAGTGTAAAGCCCGGCGATAGGAGCTATATCCCGACTGTATACTTTTTTTATCGCTTCGTATAGCCCGGCTATATGATTTGCTCCGCTTTCTACAGCCAGCTATATGATTTTCTATTGCCTTCTTTAGCCGCCTATAAGAAATCCTATGGTATTTTGAAACGCAGCTCCTATCGCCAATTTTTACCAGGGTATACCTTGGACCTTGAACCCTAAGCGATGCACCGTTCCTCAACTCTTCGAATGAGGAGCCCTTCACGAGCTTTTCCATTGTTTTATTGTTTATTCGAGTCACTCAGGTAGAATCCCACATCTTGACGTTTCTAGCGGAAACGACATATCTCTCACGCTATTAAAATTGGACTTAAGTGACATGAGCTTTAAAAGCTCTACAACATTAAAAGTTCAGGTGTTCTTCATTTTTTGCACATCTACATCTACTAAAGATGACATACATGTAAAGATCATCCTTATCGGTCCGGCAGTTCGTCAGAAATAGTGCTTCCAAGATTTTGCTTTTAGCTGTATAATATAGATAAATATAGATATTATTTGAACGAGTCAGTTGGAACTTAAAGTATTTTCCCTGACAAACTCTCTACTCTAGAAGTCAATAGGGTAAAACGGAAAGAAATGATTCATTCGAAGTCTTGGATTAATGCTACAATTTAACTTACGTCGAGCTTAGCGTGAACAAAAAATATATTTCCCACAGGTCATTCCATTATTTTAGGGAGTGAAATTACCTCAGGAAAAACCATTGTTCTCAGAGATGTCGCGACGTAAGTTTCTAAATACGAATATGAGAATTGCAGGACGGAATTAACCAGTAACAGCCAAACGTCCAACATTAGATCGGCAAGTAATTTGTTAGAATTAGGGAACCCTTGACTCATAGAATTCCAGGAGGTAGGGAAGGGTCCTTGCCAGCGTGATGCAGCGTTGATTTTTTTCGGGGTTCAAAAATGCTTCTAAACTGTGGTTTTGAAAAAATCGATGCTTAAAAAAGATCTGCCATAGCGGATATAATGTCCCTTAGTTCTTTTCTTGACTACTTAGAGAACTTCCACATCGACTCATCAATTAGCAACGCTAATCGATTTCCTAAGCTACCGACCGAATAGCTGATTAGGGACGGAATGACGTGATTGGCTAGGAGGCGATCGTCCCAAAAATTGTGGCTGAAAGGACCTCACAAGAGTCCTTATGGACATAAACGTAAGGTGCTTCGTTCAACCCTTTCGAACCTTTCTCTTCTCTCCATCAGTAAGGGCCTCCAATCCCCTATTCGGCAGAGCCCCACCCCCGAAAATTCGGGGCCAGTCCGGCCTAGGTTCTATGATTTTGACACGCATTTTTTTAAAAATTTGTATTGTGTGGTAGAAGGAGGGGCGGTAAAGCGATATAAAACGCTACTATGAGTAGAGGAGTGGGTGTTGGCGAAAGATGTCAAAATATTGCAGAAGAATTATGTAATTTGGAAGTTACCTCTGGTCTAAAATGTATTCAAAGGTCAGCCGGGACCTGTACACTTCGACTTGAAGGTAGGACACAGGATTATGCCACTAAAATTCATGAATAAATACAACTGTATACGACTGCACGCGAATATGCCATTAAAACGTAAGCGTGTCTTCGACGGACTCCTTGACGGACAGAATCAGAGGCTCGGAGTTCAGCAAAATATTCCGAAATTTTCACGAAAAACACGAGGATGCTTCTTGCGTTGTCTAAAATTAACGCATGAGCTCATAAAAAAGCTCTCAAAGAAACGAACACAGCAGCGTGGTAAGTAATCGTACGGCTTAAAATGTTGACACATTTCAGAGCATCGTTAAAAAATCATTTTTTCGTCCCTTGAATGTGCGAGAGTGTGATTGCCCAGTGCTCACACGGGTACATGACATACGTTACTGCACGGAAAATCCTACAATGTTGTCATTTTGATGATCAATTATCAATTTATTAAAATTTAATGATCTGATTTCCACCTTGGGAAATTTTCCCCCTTGAGGTCAAGTGTGAAACTGATGCTGCCTCCATCCAATTTTTTTTTTAGACTGGCCGCTAACAACGACATATGAAGTAAATGAATCCTATCTGCACGTGTCATAATTGCGTGGTTGCGCTCAATTTTCTAATTGAACTCAATCCAGCCACAAGTGCGATCCGGGAATTGTTGTTACTAAACACTTAAGCCCTTGCCACATCGGAAACTTGATATAATTCGAGCCCCACAATACATACCAATGGCTGAAATATAAAGATTCGTTAATTTAATGCGATGTTTCAAAATCTCCAATTATATTTTAGAAGTCCAGAGGAAACGAACCAACGTAGTAAAGCGAGGGCAACCAGTGCGACACGCGCATGGGCGCCTACAAACCTAACAGGGATACTTCACGCATTGTTATGCGTGAAGTATCCCTGTTAGGTTTGTAGGCGCCGGTGCGCGAGCCGCTCCGCTCTGCGTTCGGCTCTAATATTTAAACTCGCGGAGTCTGCATCCTTTTTAAGCTCAAGATTTTGAAATGTTTTCACACTCCGCATGGATTATTCTCATTTATTATATTGATGAGAAAAAATATGTTTTTGAAGAAAATGTACTGTGTGTTTTGTAAATATGAAGGTGGTTCGTGTCAAATTTAAAGATTTCCAAAGCACTTTAATAACAAGGAGGAAGAATAAAATTATATTGGTCCATACGCTGTTTTGTCATTTATCTCTCTCGCACTCATCGACATGTCAGATACGCATGGNGGGGGGGGGGGGGGGGGGGGGGGGGGGGGGGGGGGGGGGCACATTGGCCGCGGCCCATATGGCGGCAAATTTTGCGATTTTTTTTTAAAGCATAAGTATATATAAGTAAAAATATTTCAGATTAAAAAAAAATACAAACGAAAAAAGGTGGCAAAATTTCTCATTTCCCAGGAGTATAGAACTGTTCTTCCATTTCTAATTTTGTCATCCTTTGGTGGTATCGGTATCAGAGATAGAAGCTTTAACTTTCGTACAAAGTTACGAGGACTTATGCAAGTGTGGACGGGAATTTCAAAAAGTGCGCCCAAGACAAGTATATAAACGCATCTTATGCACCCCCCCCCCTCAAAAGGTCCATTAGATGATTCTTATTGACGTTTAAAAAGGGACAAGAAGGGGGCACCAAAATACAGGCTGCCCATGGGCAGCAAATATTGACTGCTGGTCAGAGTCTGACCACTAGTTTGGTAACCAAAGGTTGACAAGAGATCTTCCAAATGGCCCGAACTATATCCTGCTCTGCAGATGCTATGAAGGCTATTTCCATTTAAATCTTCCGTCACATTCTTACGGCGCAATGATACAACTATTTGAACTCTCCGGAATGCGTGAGGTATCACGCCACATTTGAAGGCGTTTTCAAAACAGCCAAGTTCCGTTATCGGAATAATCGTTTTGCATAGTTCATATTATTTTGTTTCCATTTCCAACCACTTGTTTCATTATAATCCTCCCATAAAAACCACCCATTTGCTAAATACAATTCTAGCTGAAGCGCACTTAAGCGCATTCATGAATGCAAAAATGTTAACGGAAATCGAAAAGGCCAGCGTGCATGAAGGCTATTTCAATTCCAATCTTCCGTCGCATTCTTACGGCGCAATGATACAACTATTTGAACTCTCCGGAATGCGTGAGGTATCACGCCGCATTTGAAGGCGTTTTCAAATCAGCCAAGTTCCGATACCCAGATTATCGTTTTGCATAGTTCATATTCTTTTGTTATATTACGTGGCACTTGATTATTTTTAATCCTCGTAGAAAAACCACCCATTTGCTAAATATAATTCTAGCTGGAGCGCACTTCAGCTATGCATTCACCACTGCAAAAATGTCAAAGGAAATCGACGCGCCCAGCGTGAATGAAGGCAGGCCCGCCACAAGGGGGGGGGTACCGGGGCCCCGTGTTACCCGTGAAAAACAACTACGAATTCACATGCAACCCTTGTTTCGTAAGAAAAAGTGAAAAATTTACCCTAAAAATTTCGCAAAAGGTGAATAGATTTTCAGAAACACGCTGGGGCACTGTAGAATTCTTCTTAAGTTTTTAAAGAAGTATACTTCTTGGAAAATTTCTATCTATTTTCAAGATTTTCAGTACAGAGGGATATTTTTAGTAACTGCGTTTCATTTTCTTCCGTTTACAGATGTTAAGAGTCTCCATCCTCGACTTCAATGGCTCATGACTCAACTCCCTTGCCATAGACAAACGAAGGGGGAGTCCAGGGGGGCCTGGCCCTCTTAGAACTGAAAATAGTATCATATGCCCCCCCCAAAAAAAATATAAATTTTCCAGATGTTTTGAATGCAACAATTGGCAAGTATTTCGTGCTGAAAGTATAAAAAAAACATAATTATTCCGCAGAAATTGATGGAAAAATTCTTTATAGAAGCTTCAAATGCGTCCGATTAGTCGTATAAATTCTAAAATTTCTCGGGGGATGCCCCTCCGACCCCCCTCCTCCGTGCTTGGGGCCCGGACTTTAAAACTGGTACCGGGGCCCCAGATGGGATGTGGCGGGCCTGGCTACATCCTTCAGCTTGTCAAACAGACACCTGGTGTGCAAACACAGTTGCAAAAATAAAGGCATAGCCTCGCATTCTTCCCGCAGTGATAGTGGTCGTGCAAATTCGAGATAGCAAGACCACTTTATTGATTTGTGATGAGAGCCCCGGAAAACACAGCAGTTAACAGGGAGGAAGGCTCAACTTATCTTGGTTCATGCGCTGTTTTGTCGTCTATCTCTCTCGCACTCGTTGATCAGATGCGGCATACTTTGGCTTGTCAAAGTGACACCTGGCACGCGAAACACAGTCGCAAAAATACTGGCTTGGTCTCATGTTATGGTCGTGAAGGTAGTGCAAATTTTTGACAGCAAGATGAGGCAAGAAACTAGTGCATTATTTATATTTCCAGAGAGAGAAATCGTGCCATGCATCAGTTTTCATGAGATGAGACTTTGTCATCATGAACTCGATCATTTGCTCTTCATCATCTTAGCCAGCTTGCAATTCTTCTAGGAAAGCTAGCTTGCGCCAGGCATTCATACCGTTTGCTCCTTCGCTTGAGGCTTTGGTATAAGCTTAAACACTTAGATTATTGGAGATTCACTATCAATTGCAGCTGATAATGATTGATACTGAGTACATGAGAATAGTATTTGTCAATAAAAACTTTGAAGGCTGAAAATAGAAATTTCTGCAGATATGGCAGATTCTTAGCTGGTTGTATAACATGAATGAGACATTTTGCGGTTAATTTAAAGGTCGAAAATGCTTGGAAGTCTAAGAGTCAAGATTTATACGAAAAAATAGAAACTCACCGGCTGATCGGCGTAGCGACGATTTGAGACGGTCATTGCTCTGTTCCTGATCAAAAGTAAAAAGGAAGACGAAAAACAAAGAGAGTGAGATCCATCAGTTATTCGGTGGGTAGCTTTTAAGTTAATTGATATTACGATTCTCAAAACTTATCACTGGAATTACTCACAAGACTAATTCTTGAAGCGAACTTAGTATAGCGAGAACGCAAAAAAAAGCTCCAAAGGTGCTTTTAACGACCAGATGACGAACTTTCAGCCTTTCTCCGAAAAGCTCTGTTTTGATGATAATTGATAAGAATGTATACAACCACAACAGCAGTATCACGTGATAAGCAGCATCACGTGATCTCAAGTGCGAGCCGAAAGTGGCCGAGTGAAAACGAAGAATACCGAAGTTCACATCAACACAACACTCTATGCATCAACACGACACGGCCATGTTTTAGTGTTTTTCTCTTGGTTTTTCTTGCTAATTGCAATTTCATTTCACTTACTTTCACGTAATTCCTGGAATCATTTGCTCGGCTGAACAGATATTCTAGCTTCATTATCTAACCCAACCAACACTGGCTCGTTAATCTGAATCTTTTTTTTTAACTTCGTATCTATTTCTGCGCGATTTCAGCATCCCTGCTGCCTGTCATTGTCAGTGTGAGTAGATCGCGTAGTTTTCAAGAATTGGTGAAGTTATAAGTGTCAGTGAACCATTTCATCTATAATCAATCTTTATTACAATACAATCATGTTTTCATCTCCTGATATGATGCTACAAGGCCTTAATGTAACCCAGTTTCAGGTCATTTGAGGTGTAAGTTGGGATTTACCTACCTATTGGTTTCTTGATCTACCGACTTAGACCATGTTTAAAACTGACTACATGCAATATCACCTGGTTATGTAAGCACTAAAGTAGCTTCAGTAATGCCTCTCAATGGGTCAAAATCAGAGTGTTGAGTCCATCATTCCAAAATCAGTGGAAAACTTTGTAGAAGAAAATATGTTGCAACACACACGATGGCTAACAGAGATTTCCTCTTTAACGTATGAAGAATTTTTGGAGTACATCGTCCAGTTAAATGTATTGTAAGTATTATCAGTTTTTACTTATTTTTCATCTTTAGCTGAAAATTTCAAATTCATGGTATGGGATGAGTTTGGCCCTGTTACACTAAATTATGAAATCTGAGCAATTCTGGAGGGTCGCCAAGTTTCAGGAGCATAGAGAGGTTGTAATCAAACCAAAAAATTTGCACACATGCAGAGGTAGTGTGCAGGAACTTCCCTACCATGAAGCTGGAATGTTCTGCATTCCTCAATCAATTTAAATACGTGAATTTTTTTTGAATAATTACCGCCTCACAGAAAAGGCTTATCCCTCTTGGATGAATTTCCTGATAAGCATGGAGAATCGATTGTATTTGCAAAGTCAATATATTGGTTAAAAAGATAATTATTAGAACACACTTCAAAGATTAGTGAGCTTTATCTTTGCTCAACATCACTAGTCCTCCATCATTTATGCCAAAAATGCAAGCCAGCTAGCCTAGTCAGCTATGTAATATTTGCAGCATCTAATTACTTACTTTCGTTTTCTCATTAATTTGTGCTCTGCTGTTTATAATTTTTATTTTTGGTTCATCTCTAGGTCTCAGCGATGTGTCGACTGCAATGGGAAACAGCTCATGTTCGCTGTAAAGAAAGGCACTGATGCAACACTTCTTTGGAAAGCAACAGTAAAAATAGCGTGTGTCAAACTTGATCCAACTACAAAGAAGATAGAGTCATGTAAACTTCTAAACCTTCCCCAATTTTTGAAAGTAAGTGCTGATGTAGCATACATGCTCAGATAACCTGAAGCACATTTTAGTTCTAAAGGAATACTTTATTATCAAAGATATGCTTCACTTTTTAGCTAAGTTGAGTGCACACCCATCAAGTTTAAGCACTTTTAGTCTGCTACAGGAGGTTGCCTGACATAAGTTTAGCATTGAAGGTTAATGCATGAATCAAGATTGCAGATCTTTTGTTGCAGTCTTAAATTGCGCAAGCTTATTTGGCTTGGACTCTGCTTTTGCTGTCTCCCATGAAGAGCCATGTCTTATATCAAAGAATAATGGCACTAAGAAAATAACTGCCAGTTTCTTTGTAAGGTCTTAGAATCCCTTTTCGAGGAGAGTCTGATAGGCCCATGCGTGGTTGCAGGGATGAAGGAACTTCGCAAAACCTCTTCCTAATATGCTCAGAATGAGTCAGTTAAGCTCAGGAGGGATTTGCCTGTGCATAGTCGTTTCTTACAGTTTTCGGTACGAGATGATAAAATTTCACGACAAATTGTCTCTGCGGAGTTATAACGCTTCCTTTTTAGGGGTTCTCGAAAACATGTTTGAACCGACCGCCACGAATCCTCGAATATACTTATCGTAGACAGAAAGATGGTGGCGCCGAAGCCGACCTGCTTACTACCGCCATGCTGCCATTGTTGACATCTAGATTTCTCGTTTGAGGTTAAGTAAGTTCTGTGTGAATGTTTCATATTCTACATAAATCTGGATCGTATTTTGATTGAAGAGCTTAGAGAATTAAGAACAACGGGTATGAATCTCAAACAAAGTAACCCACATTACCTCCAATTGACCAACAAAAATACACCGCCAATGCGAAGCCGCTGTGTATTCTTCCACTACGCATTCCGCCGCCATATTGATCGTGACGTGTACGTTTGAAACCTACAAGCGCGCATTTCAAACGCCGTTTTAGGCCACCCTAATTTTTGGTACTTTCAAATAAACTTTTCTCCCGTTTGCAGTCATCTAAAAAAATTAGGAAAAATACTGTAGGCTTCGGTCACTTACTACTTTCGAATGACACAATAAAAAAAAAATGACTTAACTGACTCATTAGCCTGTACTTCAAAGAATTAAAACTTTTCCAGAAAATTCCCATTCCTGTTCAGCACACAACTGTTTGAGGCAACTTTGATCTGAGAATGTATTAGGAGAGTCTTTCACTGTATGTTGGAGGGGCCTATTGCGCAGAGGTTTTCTGGAATGCACAATGAGCTCTAAGTCGGGATTTTGGATCAGATATAGATTTTCAGCTTTTTATACCACAGACAAAAGACCAGTCAGAATGGCAACAGCCAACAGTCTTTGTTCCACTCATTGGAGCCCATATAGGTGTCCTCAGCAAACAATATGTGATTTTTACACTAACAGAAGCCAGCTCTTTCATTGTTGTATGTGACTCGCCGGTCAAGAAGAAATTTCAAGACGTCCCAAAATCTCTACAACTGCCCTTCGCCCCATCAGGCTCCACTTAAAAAACGATTTTACGCGATCAGATAAAAGCAACTGGCAATTTCTTTCGTAGTGCCACAACTCCATGGTAAAGGACAAGGCTCTCGATGAGATATAAATAACTGTCTAAAAAATTTACTCATTGTGAGCCTCTGTCATTTTCTTGAAAAACTGACCTGTTTATTTAATGTCCCAAAACACAGAAAAATTATTTCAAGCATGTGTCTATTGGGTTTACACATACCTACTTTTTGCTGCTGAAGCTGAAAATAATCTCAGTGTTATTCCATCACATAATAATTTTCAAAAAAGTCAGGTTCTCCTAAAATACGGCTTTTGTCACCGTATAAAGGCAAGAGGACCAAGCATCGAAGATTTACTTCAATTGTGAACTTTTGACTGATTCTAGGTGTTCAAAGCTCTCCAGTATCAAGTCACTACTGCGCAGCAAATGGAGAGTGTGTCATCATGTAGCAATGGAATGACGGCTTCTACAGTTTTAAGAGAAATTGACAACGCAATCCACGAGGAGGGCATTAGTCGAACAGCGGATGGGGTAATACCAGAAAGTAAATTGACTGAGTGTTGCATTTGCCTCGAGAGGAAGCCAGACGTTATGCTGCCTTGTGCTCATTCCTATTGTCATGTTTGTCTCGAGCAGTGGTAAGTTCTGCCTGCAACTATTTCATGCACAAAGTGAATTTACATACTACCTCAAATTCCTAGTCTTGATAATCCTAGTTTTGTCCTAGGCATGCCACAAAATTGAAAAAAATCTTAAAAAATCGGTAACTGGAATTTTTGTCTCTTGATTATTCCCTCAGTAATTACTCCGGCGATAGGCAATTTACCTTCAAGCTATTCTGCATATTCGGTCATCTTTGTTGGCATGTGCTGTGCTGTAACATTTGAAAAAACATCACAAGTGGGTACTTGGAGCAAATGTTTTTATTAGAAGTGGACTTTTTCTTCAGGTATGGTACTTCCAATGACGTTCCTCATGAAAACATTTTTATTCGGAGGGAAACCCAGGGAATAATTGCAAATTTGCAGAATTTTACTTCAATTTGTTTACTCCGTCAGTAGTTAGCATTGCAAAGTGGATCATTATTGTGAAAGCTTGATTTTCTTGGTAAAATCGTGAAGAAGTGCGCACTGAGTCAAGCTAATATTATGAAAACCTAAGATGAAAATTCAACATCAGGTAGCAATTTTTCACCCAAAACTCATTACAAAACGCCAATTTGAGGGATGTAGTTGTGCGTGAGGTGCGTGAGAGTGGCACACACTGAGTATTGCATGGTTTTTTAGGGAGGTTGCAGAGTTGTGGTAGGGGTGCATTACAAGTGGGAAGGGGTTCTTAGCTCTGATTTGAGCGCCATATACTTTATGAACTGCCCTTCACCTAAACGTTGAACGTTAGAATTAGCATTGAAGGCTCCTAAGCAAGCACTATCAGACAGTACAGAAATTTCAGATGAAGATCTCCAACTTTTCTGATGGATATGGCAAGCACATAAAATTTATTGTCTGTCATATGATACAATTACTAACATTCATTATGGAAATGCTACTCACTTTCACCAATGTGCATCAAGAAAAACGGTGGAGAAGTGGTTCTTCTATGGACAGAAGACTCAATTTTGATTGACAACTGGAAAAGTCATACTTGCACTAACATGTTTGAAATACAGTGTGTATGTCTGCAAGCTCTGTCAGTGCATTGGTGAGAGAAGTTCTAGCTTTTTTCTCACGACTTTTAACTTTCTTCCTCCCAATGCCCTGCTGCTGCTCTATCCTTTCATGTTCTTTTACATGTTCCTTCTATATCATGACCATTGGAGCCCCATTTGAATACTGTAATGATATTGAAACTACAAAATATTGCAACTTGCTTTGTGAGGTTGTGGATTTTTTGTTATTTTTTTTTTTTTTTTTTTAATGAAAAAGGCCAGTAATATTCTCCAAGACGAATGGAGTGTTGACATAAGTTTGGAAAACTTTATCAACATTCAACTTACATGGTTTTGAAGTTTCACCATGAATGGGGAAGTATGTCCTTGGCCTCGAAGTGCCCCTTGAATTATTAAAAGTATCTAATGCCATTTCTTTTTAAGTGAATAATAAGCTCACAGCAGAGTCCTACAGAAATGTATATTTCCTCTGAAAACCTATTTTTTCTGCTTTTGTAAGTTTGTATTTATCTTGGAACTCAAACTTACGATCTCTGAATTGTCAAATCTAAGTATTGCAGCAAGTAACTAATTAACATTCGTTACTTAATTTCAGGAAAGTGAACAACTCTACCTGCCCGGTATGTCGAGAGACTATTTCTAACAAAGACGAGTCATGGGTAATCTCAGAAGCACCCAACTCGCTGGAAATCAGTGAGCAGATTTTTACCTCCTTACTCAAGATAGCTGATTCTCCAGACTCCTCATAAAGGATGCAAGGTTAAAAACTTCCGCCAGGTAATCGAAAGTTGCCTGTCAAGTGCCATTTTGGATAAGTACCAATTTATCATTGAAACTGGATGCAGAATTCACCAAGATTCCAGAAACACTTTCCATGAGGTCTGTGTTTTAATTTATAACAACGAAAGGTGAAGACACGCTCTGTCAGGCGCAGTAGTTCTTTTTCTACCGCTAACTTGGCCAACTATCCATCGTTATTAGTACCCTGTGTTGTAAAGCCCACCTTAATAGCAATGGCAAGCTTTGACAGAAAAATCCTCAAAGCTGGTAGAATAAGTTTTGTTCAACCAGGAACCTGAAAAAACCAAGTAGGAGAACGTTCTCTATACCTCAGTACATTTTTTGGAAATTGCATAAAACTCCCTCTTTAAGTATTAAAAAAATTATAAAAACCAGCTGTTATTAAGTTTCTGTGATTACCTTCAAAATTTAATAAGGTTTAGATATTCATCAAATTTTTACCTCTGTACATCATAGGAAACATCAGGAGCTGATCAATAAAGGGCTCCAACATTCATTATTTGAAGCCCAAAACCTGGTTTTATTAAAGAAAACAAAAGAAAAGGTTTGATCAATGATTTTAAGAAACATACATACCTAGAAAGTTTTTTATACAACCTGAAACATTTTGAGGAACATTTTACAATGTAGGCATGCATAGAAGGAAAACACAGAAATAAAAAAAAAGCGTTCTTTGAGGAGTAAAAGAAATTGAACCCCAAGACTAGTTGTGAAATGTTTTACTCTTTTGGCAGGATGTTACTTTTCTTTTTTTGGGGGGCTCAACTTTACTGTCAACAGAATCTTCGGAATCAAATTTAATTGAAGCTTTTTTTCTTCTTCAATATCGAGTTGGAAATTCGTACACCTTCGAAAATGCTCTTGCTCCTGCCTCTAAATTCTAACAAAAAAGGAAAATAAAGTATTTTCATTCACCTAGGGGCGGCTGTTGATTGATCATCAGCAGGGGTCCGCATGCCATGTTTGGTGCAGCAGCAGCATGGGCCCACGCCATCATGTTTGGTGTTGTGCAGGCGCTGTATATGAGCGCATTATCGCTCATAACCCCAGCTGGTGCGATCGATGCGCTCGATGCGCTGTTTGTATGGTTAACGGCCGGCCTTCAATTCTTCATTTTCACGCCTTAAAACTTGTAATTCTAGCTTACCTATAAGTTTACACGTACAGTCGTTTCAAGTCGAAATTAAAAAAAAGCGTTCTTTGAGGAGCAAAAAAAATTGGACCCCAAGACTAGTTGTGAAATGTTTTACTCTTTTGGCGGGATGTTACTTTTCTTTTTTTGGGGGGCTCAACTTTACTGTCAACAGAATCTTCGGAATCAAATTTAATTGAAGCTTTTTTTCTTCTTCAATATCGAGTTGGATATTCGTACACCTTCGAAAATGCTCTTGCTCCTGCCTCTAAATCCTATCTAAAAAGGAAAATAAAGTATTTTCATTCACCTAGGGGCGGCTGTTGATTGATCATCAGCAGGGGTCCGCATGCCATGTTTGGTGCAGCAGCAGCATGGGTCCACGCCATCATGTTTGGTGTTGTGCAGGCGCCGTATATGAGCACATTATCGCTCATAAGCCCAGCTGGTGCGATCGATGCGCTCGATGCGCTGTTTGTATGGTTAACAGCCTTCAATTCTTCATTTTCACGCCTTAAAACTTGTAATTCTAGCTTACACATAATTACAGTCGTTTCAAATTCGTCTATTTTCCGGTCTAATCGATCGCGGATGCGCTTTTCGCCGCGATATACCCTTTGGTATGCTGCATCAACATCCTTCTTGTCTTTTTTGAGATATCCAACAATGGGTCGGAGCTCCAGTAGAATGTTTTTTTACTCACATAGTGTAAAATAAACCAAACGAACTGCATGGATGTACATTCCATTCCTCCTATCACACCCGCAAAATTACGTCGCATATTGACTGTCACGCCTTTACCTTGAACTAATTTCGCGGAGGAATGCTGCATTACCTTGAATTATTTACTCGTAGCAAAAATACTGCATCTATGCAATCGGACAACTTCCCCCTCCCTCAACTCACCTACCGCCATCGGCTCCCGCCAGATCCCCGCACAGATACTCCTTCCCCCTCTACCCGCTCCTACTGCAACGCGAGCTCACGAGAAGTTGTCCACAACGCTGTCTAATATACGCTATAATTATGATATTTCACAATATTCAATGCAAACATTGAATTTGATTATACCGATCTGACACACAAGTTTTCAAACGCATTTTGCTTAGAGACCGAGCCTCCATCCTGCTATCCTGCTACCTCGAACTCCATTCGGACTCGCTTATGAACAAGTCCACATAGCTGCCTAATATACGCTATAATTATGATATTTCACAAAATTCAGTGCAAACATTGAACTTGATTATACCGATCTGACACACAAGTTTTCAAACGCATATTACTGAGAGACCGAGTCTCCACCCTGCTATCCTGCTACCCCGAACTCCATTCGGACTCGCTTACAAACACATTTTTTAACAAAAATAAACCCAAATTTTGGACCCAACACCAAAAAAAATATTTTTAGACATTACTCACTCATATCCACCACACCCACGGGGAAAGACCAAGGACTCTGCGTGATCTTCTGAGTTTCGGGTGCCATCGCTCCAAAGTCACAGTACACTCTCGTAATTTGAACCGCTCTACCACACTGATTTCCAACACATGTCCGTCACCCCATTCGTCTTCACTAGAGCTCGAGTACAAACATGTGCTTTCAACTTTCGGGACCAACTCGAAATTGACCCCCTCTACCTCCTCAGACTTCACCTCAATTATGTCATTTTCAGATTTTACCTCTTGCTTGATCTCTGTTTCTTCCGTTTTTATTTCGATTTTCACCAGCTCTTTCTTCACACCCACGCAAGCGGAGGGGGTGGCTGCTGTCATGGTTAGGGAGGATGAATTTTCCTTGGAGGTAGAGTCTGTTTCCTCCGTTTTTATTTCGATTTTCACCAGCTCTTTTTTTATACCCATGCAAGCGGAGGGCCCATGTAACCCATGCAAGCATGAATTTTCCTTGGAGGTAGAGGGTTCCAATAAATGCGAATTAATTGCTTCAGCTTGAATGGCTGGTCCCAAATCCCTAGTGTGGAAAATTACAGTTGGTCGAGCGGTACTTGACATTTTTTTTCTAAAAAAAAATGAGGAAAAGAAAAGAAAGCCACTAAGTTCCGTGAAGATCAACACAAAAAAAAAATAAATAAAACTTAAGAGTACTTGAATTCTTTTTTTCTAAAAAAAGAGAGAGAAAAAAAGCCACTAAGTCCCGTGAAGATCAATTCTAGAAAAAAAATAAAACTTGAAAGCACATGAATTCACGTTTCACAAGACTTTAAAAGCAAGAAAATTATTTTTTCGCAAATGACAAGAGATAAGAAACTAGATATTCGGGAAGCACAGTAAGGATAATTTTGCATTTGCTGAGCATACCTAGAAAAAATAATTGCATCATATTGTGAAAGAATAAGAATCTGAGTCACCCAGGTTTCAGAAGGAATGCGATGTATTTCATCAGATTTTCAATTCTTCATTTTCACGCCTTAAAACTTGTAATTCTAGCTTACACATAATTACAGTCGTTTCAAATTCGTCCATTTTCCGGTCGAATCGATCGCGGATGCGCTTTTCGCCGCAATATACCCTTTGGTATGCTGCATCAACATCCTTCTTGTCTTTTTTGAGATATCCGACAATGGGTCGGAGCTCCTCATAAATCTTCATGAGGGGCAATTCATACAACTTGGCCAAACACTCTGCAAAGGAAGTAGATTCCGCAGCCTTCTCTGGTTGGCCTGACGTGGGCGGTTCTTGTGCCGACTTGAATTGTTGATCGTTGGTTGATTCGGCGGGCTCCATCCTGCCCAAATTTAATACATTTAATATAACTTTTGAAATGGACTCATAGGGGGAGGCTGTCAATTATCTAGCTAGCACGGCTGGTGGGAGGGCGGCTTCTCGATCTGTGTGACGCTCTGGAGGGTAGGCGGTCGCGGGGCCGGTGCCTTTCCGCCCGACGCCTCGATCGGAGCTCCCTCCGAGACCTCTGACGTTCCTGCCAAGCGGAATCCTGGGGTGTGGGCCACCAGAGGAAAGGGGTCTGCGTGGAGGCGTCTCGGACCAAGACCCTTTGGGCCGCTTGTGATGTGGCCGTCCTCGGCGACAGGTAGACGGTGGAAGCCGGGGAGACATGGCTTGGGCTAGTCGGCTTTGGCCCTGGTGGTTTGGGTGGCCGCGGTGATGCTGATGTGGGGGACAAAAGCCGCTCCTCATCACTGGAGGTGATCAGCCACCAGCTCTGCCGCTGCTGGGGTGGTGGGACGCAGGTGATGCCACCCTGCTGGGACCTGCTTGCGGGAAAGGAGGTGCCCCTGCAGCCGCGGACGGGGTAGGTCTGACCAGCCTTATGGGTTTGATTGGGGGCCGTGACTCCGTGGCACGAGGAACAGGTCGAATAGGCTGGAGGCCCTGAGCTGGTTTGGATCTGGCAGTGGCCTTGCCGCGACCTGTCACCAGGATTGGTTTCGTGGCCCTACGGACAGTGGCCGGGTTGGAGGCTGGAGACGCCGGTTTCCTACTGGACTGTAGCCGGGCTGCCGCCCCGGCCAGTCTTTGGGCTGACAGCTCCAGCGGCTGCGGTCGGGGAGCTCGTCCCATGGGCCCCGGGAGTTGGGAAGATGGGGTGGCTTCCACCCGGAATTCTACGTCGGATTCGGAGTCGCTGACAGCATGATTGGCTTCATGACGATCTGAAATGAGAGAAGGAAAAATAAAAGAAATTAATAGTGAATAGTTGCGGCACAGAGTAACTTACAAGTAATTTTAAGAGTAATTTTTGGCAAGAAACTTGAAATTATGATTGTGTTAACTCTGATCTATTCGCTGACGGGCAATTTATAGAGTTTTACTGCCGGGCGGCGCAGCTCGCCGCTTTTGGTTTTTACGGTGGCAGCTCTGACTTGCCCGTTGGGGCCGGGAAAGATATCAGTGATGATACCCATTTTCCATGAAAGGGATGGAGCAGACGGGTCGCCCACAATGACTGTGTCATTGACCGCTAGAGGGGTGTTGGCGGCTTGCCATTTAGACCGAGGTGCCAGGGTGTGTAAGTACTCGGTGCGCCAACGCTCCCACAAGGTCTGTGCCATTGCCTGTACCCTGTGCCATCTTTTCAACGGGTAGGGTGTTCGGCTCGCTCAGGTTTGAGGAAGGCGTACTGCCTGGAATTTCAAGAAAATAAATTTGATCCATTTAAAAAGTGAGCACACACATTGAAATAATAGTGATAGTGATACATGTATATTATATTTTTGAAGCTTAATTAGTAGGCTAGTAATAATATCTATATGTTATTAATTATATAACTATAATTATAAAATTAGTATGCTGTAAGCATTTTTACACGCATGCCTCTAAATCCTAACAAAAAAGGAAAATAAAGTATTTTCACTCACCTAGGGGCGGCTGGTGATTGATCATCAGCAGGGGTCTGCACGCCATGTTTGGTGCAGCAGCAGCATGGGTCCACACCATCATGTTTGGTGTTGTGCAGGCGCTGTATATGAGCGCATTATCGCTCATAACCCCAGCTGGTGCGATCGATGCGCTCGATGCGCTGTTTGTATGGTTAACGGCCTTCAATTCTTCATTTTCACGCCTTAAAACTTGTAATTCTAGCTTACACATAATTACAGTCGTTTCAAATTCGTCCATTTTCCGGTTGAATCGATCGCGGATGCGCTTTTCGCCGCGATATACCCTTTGGTATGCTGCATCAACATCCTTCTTGTCTTTTTTGAGATATCCAACAATGGGTCGGAGCTCCTCATAAATCTTCATGAGGGGCAATTCATACAACTTGGCCAAACACTCTGCAAAGGAAGTAGATTCCGCAGCCTTCTCTGGTTGGCCTGACGTGGGCGGTTCTTGTGCCGACTTGAATTGTTGATCGTTGGTTGATTCGGCGGGCTCCATCCTGCCCAAATTTAATACATTTATTATAACTTTTGAAATAGACTCATAGGGGGAGGTTGTCAATTATCCTCCTCGAATTGGGTTCTTTAGCCGAGAAATAAGCCGTTCTCTTGGGACTTATGAATAACGCCTAGGTCTTTTCCCCTGCGAACTCGTATCCGATGTTTTCCACTCTTGCCTCGATTTGCCGGATCAGCTGATTACATAAATCCTCTAGTTCGTATGGGTTTTTTGCCGACACGACTAACAAGGTGTCATCCGCGAACCCAATGAGCAGCTTGTACCCACTCTCCGCCACTCTTAGTACCGCATTATACGTGAGTATCCAGAAAGTGGGCCCAAGGACTGAGCCCTGGGGGACACCCCTGTTTGTCCGGTAGTTCCTCTCTACTCCGTTCTGATCCGTATACTGCAAGGTTCTCCCCGCGCCGTATTCCTTGACTATGGCCTGGATGTATCTGGGGAGCCCCGCTTTCTCCATACCTTCTAGGATGCTCCTCCATTTAATCGAATTAAAGGCATTCTTTACGTTGAATCTTATTACGCAGCAAAATCTTTCCCTGTTCTAGCTCCACGCATTTTCTTCTTCATGATTCTTAGGGCATCTCCAGTGGATCTCCCCTCCCTGAAGCCAAATTGCATATCGGAGAGGTAGCCGGTGTTCGCTAACTCCTTCTTAATCCTGTTATTTATAAGGGTCTCATAAAGTTTGCCGAGTACAGACAGCAGGGTTATCGGTCTAAATTTGATCGAGCCCAGTTTCGGCAGCAGCGCCAGTCTTCCTGTCGTCCATTGATCCGGGAAAGATCTCTCCTCCAAACACTTGTTATGTATGTTCAGCATTTTCTCTGGATCTGCTCTGTAGCAGCATCTTACGATGTCGTTTGTAAAGTGATCTAATTTCGGCGCTTTCTTCCGCCTCTTTCCGGTGAGACGTCTGACAGCCACTCCCAATTCTTCCGGTGTGAAGATCGGTACCTCCTCATCGCTGTCTGCCAGTATTTCGTTTTCCTCGTACCAATCTTCGTCGCCCATCGGAAAGAATTCCTCCACTACTGCGTTGATATCCACTTTTCCAATGTCCCTCCGAGTTTTTCTATTACGATCCTTTATGCCTTGGATCAGGGATCGCGATCCAAATCCTGGAGGAGTTCTTCCCATTTCTTCCTTTTGCTCTCGGCGATGGCGATCTTCAGATCTCTTCTCATGTTTGTAAGCTCTGCCAGCAGTCTTTGTCCCCGTGGCCCCTTGCGGCCTTCGTCGCTCAGTCTCTTCAAGCGCCGCCGAGTTTCTTCGCAAGACACCCTCTTCTCGCCGATTTCGCCTGTCCCACAGTATACACTCTTCCGTACGAAACGCTTCCGTCGCGGAAGAACGTCGTTACATGTGTCGGTAATGACTTATAGGTAATCTGTCACTACTTGCTCTGCCGCTGTTCCTTCTGTAGAGCCGATCGCCTCGATGTTTGTTTTCAGCGCCTTCTCAAGCTCCGGGATAGCTTCTTTCCTCAATATCCAGCCACCCGGTTCACGCGCTTGTGGGACTCGGGCCGGATTTTCTCCGATCATTATGTTATACACGATGTAGCGA